CTACTACTACTACTACTACTACTACTACTACTACTACTACTACTTCTACTATTACTACTACTACTACTACTACTACTACTACTACTACTACGACTACTACTACTACTACGACTACTACGACTACTACGACTACTACGACTACTACGACTACCACGACTACTACTCTACTACTACTACTACTACTACTACTACTACTACTACTTCTACTACTACTACTACTACTACTACTACTACTACTACTACTACTACTACTACTACTACTACTACGACTACTACTACTACCACTACTACTACTACTACTACTCTACTACCACTACTACTACTACTACTACTACTACCACTACTACTACTACTTTCAATACTACAAGTGATATTATAACTACTAACAACACTAATGCTAACACGAATCATTTCACACAGTATTAATATTCATAAGACTAATACAAACACTACGAGTAAGTTTCATTTTGCTTATACGGATGGGGATTTGAATAATACTCATGCTAAGAAGAGGAGGAGGCGGAGGTGGAGGCGGAGACGGAGGAGGAGCAGGAGCAGGAGGAGGTGGAGGAGGAGGAGGAGGAGGAGGAGGAGGGGGATGACTATTGTACATCCAAGGGTCATCAACAATGTTTGAATCAACCTTCCCTCCAAGCTCCATTTCGTAGGCCCCTACAAGGATTCATCTTCACTGAAGGAATTGTTACGTGGAAAGGCAAACGTCTGAAGTCCCTGAAGCATGTCAACATATTATTCTCGGGACTCCAACGCCACGGATCAACCTGACTGTTGCGTCTTTCCGAATCGTGCTAGAACGCCATTCTAGGGATCTCAGCACTTTGCATTATTGTAACTGCTACACCCTCATGGTCTTGAATTTTTCCGAAACACCATTTCTTGTACGCTGACCACGGGAACCCGTGAAACTCTTGCAATTTTGGAAAAAGGAATGTGCGCGGTGCTAAAGCGAGAGCCACATGTTGAATTGAGCCGCCCTCAATCCGTGAACCTCTGGCAATTTCTATAACGAATGTGCGCGGCGATAAGGCGATAACCATATCTTGAAAACGACCCGCCCTCAATCCGTGAAGCTCATGTCGAACAAGAATGTGCGCGGCGCTAAGGCGATGTGTGAAAACCCACCCGCCCTCCATATGTGAAGCTGTTGTATTTTTTAGCTTCTGGGTGATAAATGGTGATGAAGTCTCAGGCGAAACGCCCGGCCCGCCCTTTCGACTGGCCACGGGGTGCGACAGAGGGAAATTGTAAGGAAAAGGAATGGAGGAGGAGGAGGAGGAGGAGGAGGAGGAGGAGGAGGAGGAGGAAAAAGAAGAATAATAAGAAGAAGAGGAGGAGAAGGACGGGAGTAGGAGCAGGAGGAGGAGGAGGAAGAGGAGGAGGAGGGGGAGGACGATGAGGAGGAGGAGGAGGAGGAGAGAGGAGGAAGAGGAGGAGGAGGAGGAGGAGGGGGGAGGCAGGGGGGGAGGGAGGAGGGAGGGAGGGAGGGAGGGAGGGAGGGAGAGGGAGGAGGGAGGGAGGGAGGGAGGGAGGGAGGGCGGGAGGAGGAGGAGGAGGAGGAGGAGGAGGAGGAGGAGGAGGAGGAGGAGGAGGAGGAGGAGGAGGAGGAGGAGGAGGAGGGAGGAGGAGGAGGAGGAGGAGGAGGAGGCGGGAGGAGGAGGAGGAGGAGGAGGAGGAGGAGGAGGAGGAGGAGGAGGAGGAGGAGGAGGAGGAGGAGGAGAGGAGGAGGAGGAGGAGGAGGAGGAGGAGGAGGAGGAGGAGGAGGAGGAGGAGGAGGAGGAGGAGGAGGAGGAGAGGAGGAGGAGGAGGAGGAGGAGGAGGAGGAGGAGGAGGAGGAGGAGGAGGAGGAGGAGGAGGAGGAGGAGGAGGAGGAGGAGGAGGAGGAGGAGGAGGAGGAGGAGGAGGAGGAGGAGGAGGAGGAGGAGGAGAAGGGGTGGGTAGGAGCTGGGACTCGTCGCTCTTCTCTACATCGTTCTCGCGTTCGTGGAAGAGATCAGTGAGTGGCCCGCGGTGTGGCCCAGACCTGACTGCCAGTCTCAGGAGGAGGGGAGGTGAGGAGGAGGAGGAGGCACAGGTGGATGCGGATGGGGAAATGCACTGTTTCAGAACGTGGCGTACATACACATATAGACCCGTATACATCAAAGTTATATATATATATCTATTTATATATTTGTATTTATATATATACATACACACGTGTGTGTGTGTGTGTGTGTGTGTGTGTGTGTCTGTGTGTCTGTCTGTCCTTCTGTCACTCTGTCCATCTGTCTCTGTCTGTCTGTCAGTCTGTTTGTCTGTCTGTGTGCGTGGTGAATTTTTGCGTCGTAGGTTTTTTCGTAATGGAGCTGCAGGGGGGCGGTACGTGACGGCAGGTCAGGTCAGGTCAGATCAGGTAGAGCCTTGCACCAGACTCTGCAGAGGAAACGTGGAGATGCTAGCTCTCAGTGGCGTGCTGCACCGCCTTCTGGGCGGAAGTGGGTAGCGACCCGGCAACTTCCATGCAATTGCGCATCACGAGGTGCCCCCCTGCGTCTCTCCAGGTCGGCCTCTCCTCTTTGGACTGGTGGGAGGGCGCAGCAGTATGGTGCCTGGTTCAAACACTCAACACAGTTTTTTGAGCTTCCGCTGGTCGCCCGCCCAGCTTCGCTATGAAAGTGGCCTTCACTGAACTTCTCTTGAGCAGCGATTTCTTGATCAGCGATTTCGAGCACAGCGGCTTTTCAGACTCGATAAATGTAGGCTGACGACTTGACAACACAAGAGCTAAACACGCGAGACCTTTGCTTCCTGCAAAACATGTAATGTGACTAATGGAATGCAGTGTTTTGACATCGCTCGCGGCTGCTCCTGAGCGGGTTGCCGAGCTCGCTCCCGACCCCTGCTGTCGGCAGACAGACCTGTACGAATGCGTGTATATATGTGTATATATTTACACGCATATACATTTACATACATGCGTGTGTAGATATTAATGATTTGTGGGTTTGATATGTGGCGTCAGATCTGTCGACCATAACTGCATCAGTCGATGTTATGCGTCAATTTCTGAATCAATGCCGAGTCGCTATCAATGACGACGGTGCCATCCGCCTAGATGATCTTTCTGGCGAATCGTTCGGCAGGAAAGTCGTCGAGTTTCTTGCGCAACGTAGTGTAAACGTGCGTCAGCTGCGTGGTCATGGGGGTTGTGACCAAAAAGGGCGATGGTGGGCATCCTTGGCGAATGCCTCACGGGAGGCCCAGAAAAGGGGAACAACCATGATGATTTTAGGTGTCTTTATTTTGTCGGGGGGGCCCTAGTCATCAACCATGGCTCCGTTTCGAAACTCTGGTCAGAACGCACTCCGGGCAGGTCTGACGGTTCGCGCTGCACCCGGGGGGAAGGGGAATGAGGGCAGGGTCTTGTCCGCGGATTAAGTGCGTGCACCGTACCGCGTTGGCGTCTCCCGTGGCGTCGTGGATCCTCAACTCACCAATGGTACGGTGCATGGTCTTTTCGGCCCTTGGAGCCGAACAACTATGCACCTCACCCCGTTGGAATGGGGCTTGAACGGAGTTCGAGCATGGTGCGGTGCATGGGCGTCGCTCTCGTGCCCCGTGCTTCCTCCTCCTCCTCGGCCTCCTCCTCCTCCTCCTCCTCCTCCGCTCCAAGTGCTGTTTCGGCGCACCGCCGTACATGCGGTAAAGGTAAGGCAGTCTGGGCGTTTCGTTTGAGACATCGCTACAGCGTGTCGTCGTCGTCGTCGTCGTCGTCGTCGTCCACATCGTCGGCGTCGTCGTCTCCAGCCGCCGCCGAGGCGCTTCGACAGGAGGGCGCTGCTGGGCGACTGGTTCGCGAGGCTGCCCTGGGGCGGGCGGCCGCGACCTGGGCCGCGTGGGGCTGGAGGAGGAAGGAAAGGAATGGGGGAGGAGTTTCCGCGACGCGCCCCTCCGAGGACGACGAAAACTGCCAGCTTCCAAACTGAACGGGAAGGGGACTCCACGACGCTGGATCTGGACATCGACAGAGAGAGGAGGAGGAAGACGACAAGAGGAGGAGGAGGAGGAGGAGGAGGAGGAGGAGGAGGAGGAGGAGGAGGAGGAGGAGGAGGAGGAGGAGGAGGAGGGAGGAGGAGGAGGAGGAGGAGGAGGAGGAGGAGGAGGAGGAGGAGGAGGAGGAGGAGGAGGAGGAGGAGGAGGAGGAGGAGGAGGAGGAGGAGGAGGAGGAGAGAGGAGGAGGAGGAGGAGGAGGAGGAGGAGGAGGAGGAGGAGGAGGAGGAGGAGGAGGAGGAAGGAGGAGGAGGAGGAGGAGGGAGGAGGAGGAGGAGGAGGAGGAGGAGGAGGAGGAGCAGGAGCAGGAGCAGGAGCTGGAGCAGGAGCAGGAGCAGCACGAGGGGGCAGCCGGCGACAGCTTCTCTGCACCTGGGCCTTGCGGGATGGCTGCGTCCAGCCTGGCTGCCCAGCGGGGACAAGACTTCTGCCTTTCGAGTCTCTAGAGCTCTAATAGGCCCTCCAGGACCCGAGGATGGATCTATCTGAGCGTGCTCTTGTCCGCGCTAGTGCTGCGGCTTTCTTTTCTCCCTCCGCCGCCCTCTTGTCCCTGCTCCCACGTGTTAGGTTGGTCTCCGACTCGACATGCCATTGCTGTTCGACCGACCGACTGAGAGGAAGGAGGAAGGAGGATGATCGAGGATTGAGGTTCCAGTAGGAGTTTCGATTCGACGTTTTCGGCCTTTAGAGGCCTGCTTCGGGCTCCGTGACCGTCGCACATCGATCAGGGATGAAACACTGCCATGCTGTACCCGAGGAGTTTATTTCTTCTAGGTCTCACCTCGGAAACTAACTATTGTTGATCGATCTTTCTGACTGCCGTCCGTTGGCTTTTAGGTGAAGTGCCCCCCTGGGATTGCGCACTGTGTTTTTCGTAAGGGGAAGTTTTCAAGTCCAAACTGCAGTGTTGGCCGCCAGACTACGACAACAACAGCTCCCGCCTGAGACTTTCTCACAATTTACTCACGAATCGCTCTCACGCTCAAGAGTCATCTCACTCTTGCCAGGGACATCCTCACAATATATTGGAGAATCGCGCTCTCGCCTTTCCAGAATCGTGCTGTCGCGCTGTCGCGCCAGATTTCCGTGTAACTTACGGGTTGTGCTACCGCTTGGGACTTCTGACAGCTTGCGTGAGGGCCGCGCTCTCGCCTGGGACGCCCGCGTCGCCCGCCCTCTTTCATGTCCCGCCTGCTCGCTCCGCCCGCTAGGGTCTGCCCGCCTTGCCCACCCATTAGGGTCCGCCCGCCCGCCAACCCCGCCCGCTTGTCACAACCCAACATGACGCACCGAGCGCTTTCCACTACTCGCAAAGTGCCTACTCGCAAACGCCCGAAAACCACATGTCTGCTTCGATGTCATTCATCGTAGATCCCCCGCGGCGGATCCCGGCCATTTGCGAGCAGCTACTTTGCGAGTGGTGGAACGCGCTCGTCCAATGACACCCCCGCCCCCAGCCACAACGGGTGTGAGGCAGTTTTGCCGAACGGTTGTCGCGACTGGGGGTGGGATCTGGGGGAGCGGCCTCCGCTCGCGGGGCAGCCTCGAAGGCCCCCGAGATCCCACCACCGCCCCAGATCCCGGCACCCCGCCTGCCAGGACTGCCCGCGGGTGCCGCCGTCGGGGGTGGGGGTGTTATTCTGGATCATCGGTTAGGGTCCGTCCGCGCGTTCGCTTGCTTGGAACCCCGCTGGTGGGTGGACTAAAAGTGTCCATACGTGTCTCGCCAAGACCTTGATTCATTAAAAGTACGTCGGACCAACATGTATACCCCCCTTCCCTAAATTCAAAGTTGACGGGTATAGGCGGCAGGCCAAAGGCCAGGGACAAAATGTGGACACTTCAATTTTGGGTTGGGGGGGAGGGGTGCAAAGCAAGGGCATTTCGCAGTTGTGGTTGTTAAAATGTTGCATCGCCTTCCCGCCATGGGTGTGGAAACTTTTCGTCCGGGCACCAGCCCGCCCGCTCTAATGGGCCCGCCCGACCCGCCCGTCCGACCCGTCCGACCCGCTCACCCGATCCGCCCGTCATGGTCCGCCCTCCCGACCATCCAGTCTCCGTGTTTCGGGGTCTCATCCCAGAGTTGGTATGGAATAGGGAGCTCCCCCAAGGTGGTACGTTCAAAAGCAAAAGAGGTAGGAATCGAGTGTTTGGGTAAGTACAAACTAGCCATTTCACATTGGTTACTGTTGATGAGGTCCCTCTCCAGAGTAGTAGTTAATATGGCTGGGGGTTTAGCCAGGAGTTGGCATGGAATGAAATAGCTCCTCCCCGAAGGGGGTAGGTTTATAAATGAAGAGGGCGGGAGTCGAGGGCTTGGGGTACACGTGTCGAATGACACGCGAGCAATGAAAAACGATCATTACTAAATTGATAATTGTTCCCCACATCCAAAGTGGGGTTCTCGTTTTCTCTGGACACCATCATCACTCATTCCTCACTCACTCACTCATCATCCCTCACACACTCACTCACTCACTCACTCACTGACTCATCAGCACTCACATATGATGATGATGATGATGATGATGATGATGATGATGATGATGATGATGAGGATGAGGATGAGGATGAGGATGAGGATGAGGATGAGGATGATGAGGATGATGATGATGATGATGATGATGATGATGATGATGATGATGATGATGATGATGATGATGATGATGATGATGATGATGATGATGATGATGATGATGATGATGATGATGATGATGATGATGATGATGATTGATGTGATGATGATGATGATGATGATGATGATGATGATGATGATGATGATGATGATGATGAGTGTGCGCGTGAGAGAGTGTGATGATGATCATCATCATCACCAGTCAGTCAGTCAGTCAGTCACTCACTCACTCACTCGCCTTGGGCTTCGTCTGTGAGTGAATTATGAGGAAGTCTCAGGCGGGAGCCCCCTCCCTATGGGGCCCGCGGATTATGTTACTAATCCGAGCGGGTCATCGGAAACCTGTAACTGTCGTCACTTTTGGGCTCCTCAGGCCTGAACTTGGAGGAAGTATGAGGCGGGGGCCTCGCCTGTGAGTAAATTGCGAGGAAGTTTCAGGCGGGAGCCCCTCCCTATGGGGCCCGCGGATTATGTTACTAATCCGAGCGGGTCATCGGGATCCTGTAACTGTCGTCACTTTTGGGCTCCTGAGGCTTGAATCTGGAGGAAGTCTCAGGCGGGGGCCTCGCCTGTGAGTCAATTGCAAGGAAGTCTCAGGCGGGAGCCCCTCCCTGTGGGGCCCGCAGATCATGTTACTAATCCGAGCGGGTCATCGGGATCCTGTAACTGTCGTCACTTTTGGGCTCCTGAGGCCTGAATCTGGAGGAAGTCTCAGGCGGGAGCCTCGTCTCTGAGTGAATTGCGAGGAAGTCTCAGGCGGTAGCCCCTTCCCTATGGGGCCCGCAGATCATTTCACTAATCCGAACGGGTCGTCGGATTCCTGTAACTGTCGTCAATTTCTGGGCTCCTCAGGCCTGAATATGGAGGAAGTCTCAGGCGGGAGCCTCGTCTGTGAGTGAATTGCGAGTGAATTCGTGTCCCCAGAACACCATTCCCAGGCCACATTTTGAATGCCTGGAGCCAACTGTAGGCCACTTCGTGTTCGTCGTGTTCCCAGTGCGCTATTCCCGGCACGTATCCACTGGGACGCACCCCTGTGCGCTTCCTCTGGGTCGTGCCCCCGCACGTATCCACTGGGACGCACCCTGTGCGCTTCCTCCTGGGTCGTGCCCCCGCACGTATCCACTGGGACGCACCCTGTGCGCTTCCTCCTGGGTCGTGCCCCCGGCACGTATCCACTGGGACGCACCCTTGTGCGCTTCCTCTGGGTCGTGTTCCGGCACGTATCCACTGGGACGCACCCTGTGCGTTTCCTCTGGGTCGTGTTCGGCACGTATCCACTGGGACGCACCCCTGTGCGCTTCCTCTGGGTCGTGCCCCCGCACGTATCCACTGGGACGCACTCCTGTGCGTTTCCTCTGGGTCGTGTTCCGGCACGTATCCACTGGGACGCACCCTGTGCGCTTCCTCTGGGTCGTGTACCGGCACGTATCCACTGGGAGTCGATATTGCAGGCATTTTCGCTTGAGACATCCTCGCAACTCTGGGTTCCGACACGCCCTGGGGTGAGGTGTTCAGGCAGCTTTCGCTTGAGATATCCTCGCAACTCTGATCTCGGAAGTGCCGTGCCCCATGGTGGCCCGGCCACTTTCGCCTGAGACATCCTCGCAACTTTGAGTTCCGAAGCGCCCTGAAGTGAAGTGTTCAAGCCGCTGCCGCCTGAGACATCCTCGCAACGTTGACCTCGGATATGCCCTGCCACTTAGTGGTCTGGCCGCTTCCGCCTATTCCGCCTAAGACATCCTCGCAACTCTGACCTCGGAAGTGCCCTGTCCCATGGTGGCCCGGCCATTTTCACCTGAGACATCCTCGCAACTTTGGGTTCCGAGACGCCCTGAAGTGAAGTGTTCAGGCCACTCGCGCCTGAGACATCCTCGCCACGTTGACTCGGATATGCCTCTCCTTATTGGTCTGGCTGCTCCCGCCTGTGACATCCTCGAGACTCCGATCTCAGATATGCCTTGAGTTCAGGTGTTCAGGCCATTTACGCGTGAGATATCCTCCGTCCTCGGACTTCGGCGGTGCCCTGCCCCATGGTGGCTGGGCGCTATCTCCCGAGACATCTTGGCAACTCTGGGTTGCGATATTCCTTGAGTTCAGAGATGTGCAGGCTGTCAAGGCCAGAACGCTGCACAATGCTTGTGCCATGCGAGTCCAGAAGTACACCAACGCGAA